CTATTCAGGTTCATTTTTCTTAAATATACATATTTTTTAAACTATTTACCATCACAGTGGGATGTCCAGTACATCAAATTCCATAATAACCTTCTAACCTGAACTTTTTGATTCATACACCTGTGTTTTCCTTTTGCATTTCTATTTTTTAATTTTTTTTAATTTTAGTTTAGTCTAGTTTTTTTTTTTATTTTCTAATATTCATATAGAGTTAAACTTCAAGGTAATCCCCTTTCCCCAATCAATACTACCCCTATAGGTAAACCAATTTTTAATCCCCCTTTATCTTAGGAAAATTGAGTCCTTTGACAAAGATATCAAGATACATCCAGGAAGAATCAAAACAACCTTCCTCACCCACACTGAGAATTTATTACCACTCTCCCATCTTTTTCTTCCTCCAGTGTTTCTGTGTTTTTGTGTTTGTCCTGATAGTATATAAATCTTATACTTGGGGTTCTTTTTTTTAAATAATAATTGTTTTTATTTATTTTCAGCATAACAGTATTCATTGTTTTTGTAGCACACCCTAGTGCTCCATGCAATCCGTGCCCTCTCTAATACCCACCACCTGGTTCCCCCAACTTCCCACCCCCTCCAATTCTTCAAACCCGTCAGATTGTTTTTCAGAGTCCATAGCCTCTCATTGTTCACCTCCCCTTCCAATTTCCCTCAACTCCCTTCTCCTAACTCCCCATGTACTTGGGGTACTTTTGGACAAGGTTCTTCCTTTATTTGCATATATTTTTTGTTCTCTCTTGTCATATACTTTTATCAGTCTTTTTGTTTGTATGTTTTTGTTTGTATACTTCCTAAATCTTACCTTAGGGCCCATTTGGGCTGAACCTTCTCTTTTATCTTCCCTTTTTCCCCTGTCTCTCTCTCTCTCTCTCTCTCTCTCATTTTCTTTTTCTTTTCTTTTATCTCTCGTTTGGGTGCGGAATCCTGATTGCTCAGAAGCGTTCCAGGGTGAGCACCTTGACTGCACCACAGTCGATACATCCAGCTACTTCCGTTCAGCCATCTCTCACCAAAATGACTAGGAGGAGGAATGCCCAACAGAAGAAAAATTCAGAGGATGGGCCTACTGCAACAGAGCTAATGGCTATCAGCATAGACAATACGTCGGAAAGAGAATTCAGGCTAACAATTATCCAGGCAATAGCTAGGCTGGAGAAAGCCATGGATGACCAAATGGAATTGATTAGGGCCAAACTGAAAGGGACCAGGGAAGATGTTCACAATGTTAGGGCAGAGCAGAAAGCTAGCAGGGAAGAGGTTCACAAAACACTCAATGAGTTCCAATCTAATCTAAATTCTCTCAAAGCTAGGGTAACTGAGACAGAAGATAGAAGTAGTGATCTGGAGGAAAAACACATAGAGAGAAAGGATCAGGAGGAAGCCTGGAACAAACAGCTTAGAAGCCAAGAAAACAGAATCAGGGAAATAAATGATGCCATGAGAAGTTCCAATGTCAGAATTATTGGAATCCCTGAAGAGGAGGAGAAAGAAAGAAGTCTAGAAGACGTAGTGGAACAAGTTCTTCATGAAAACTTTCCCAATCTCACGAATGGAAACAGCGTTCATGTACTAGAGGCTGAACGGTCTCCACCCAAGATTATAGATTCCAGAAAAACATCAAGGCACCTGATAGTAAAATTGAGAAATCATAATTGTAGATATAACCTCTTGAAAGCCGCTAGGACAAAGAGGCTCCTTACTTACAGAGGAAAACCCATCAGAATAACGCCAGACCTGTCTACAGAGACCTGACAAGCCAGAAAGGGCTGGCAAGATATATTCAGGACACTAAATGAGAAGAACATGCAGCCAAGAATACTTTATCCAGGAAGACTGACATTCAAAATGGATGGAGAGATAAAGAGTTTCCAAGACCAGCAAGGCTTAAAAGACTATGCGACCACCAAGCCAACACTGCAGGAAATATTACGGGGGGGTTCTATAAAAGAGGAAAAATCCTAAGAATAGCATTGAACAGAAATATAGAGAATATCTACAGAAAAAAAGACTTCAAAGGTAACACGATGTCAGTAAAAACGTATCTCTCAATAATCACTCTCAATGTGAATGGCCTAAAAATGCCCATAAAATGACACAGGGTTGCAGATTGGATAAAACGACAGGACGCATCCATGTGTTGTCTACAAGAGACCCATTTTGAACCTAAAGATACACCCAGACTGAAAGTGAAGGGATGGAGAAGCATCTTTCATGCCAATGGGCCTCAAAAGAAGGCCGGCATAGCGATTCTCATATCAGGCAAATTAGTTTTTAAACTAAAGACTGTAGTCAGAGATAGAGAAGGACACTACATCATTCTTCAAGGGACTATCCACCAAGATCTCTCAGAAATAGGCAGATCATCAAAGCAGAAAATCAATAAAGAAACAAGAGCATTGAATGACACATGGGACCAGATGGACCTCATAGAAATATACAGAACATTCCACCCTAAAACAACAGAATATTCATTCTTCTCAGGTGCACATGGAACTTTCTCCAGAATAGACCACGTACTGGGTCACAAATCAGGACTCAACCGATACCAAAAGACTGAGATGATTCCCTGCATATTCTCAGATCACAATGCTTTGAAACTGGAGCTCGATCACAAGGAAAAGTTCCGAAGGAACTCAAACACCTGGAAACTAAAGACCACCTTGCTTAAGAATGCTTGGATCAAACAGGACATCAAAGAAGAACTGAAACAATTCATGGAAACCAATGAGAATGAAGACACTTTGGTCCAAAACCTATGGGATACCGCAAAGGCGGTCCTAAGGGGGAAATACATAGCCATCCAAGCCTCCCTCAAAAAAATTGAAAAACCCAGAATAAACCAGCTGTCTCTACACCTTAAAGAACTGGAAAATCGACAACAAATCAAACCAACTTCACACACAAGAAGGGAAATCATCAAGATTAGAGCTGAAATCAATGAGGTAGAAACCAGAGATAGAGTAGAATGTATCAATGAAACCAGAAGCTGGTTTTTTGAAAGAATCAATAAGATCAAAAAACCATTGGCCACACTAATCCAAAAGAAAAGAGAGAAAGCCCAAATTAATAAAATTATGAATGAAAAGGGAGAGATCACAACTAACACCAAGGAAGTAGAAACAATCATCGTAAGTTATATCAACACTTATATGTGAATAAGTTAAGCAACCTAGGTGAAATGGATTCACTCGTGGAAAACGATAAACACACAAGATTCAACCAGGAAGAAATTGACAACCTGAATAGACCGATATCTACTAACAAATTGAAGCAGTGATCAAAAACCTCCCAAAAAACAAGAGTCCAGGACCTGACAGATTCCCTGGGGAATTCTACCAAACTTTCAAAGAAAAAATAACACCTATTCTCCTGAAGTCATTTCCAAAACTTGAAGCAGAAGGAAAACTTCCAGACTCTTTCTATGAAGCCAGCATTATCCTCATCCCCAAACCAGGCAAAGACCCTGCCAAAAAGGAGAATTTCAGACCAATATCACTCATGAATATGGATGCTAAGATTCTCTACAAGATCCTAGCAAACAGGATCCAACAGCAATTCAAAAGATTATCCACCATGACCAGGTGTGATTCATTCCTCGGCTACAAGGATGGTTCAACATTCGCAAATCAATCAATGTGATAGAAGAAATCAATAAGAAAGGAGAGAAGAACCACATGGTCCTCTCAATTGATGCAGAAAAAGCATTTGACAAAATCCGGCATCCGTTCTTGATTAAAACGCTTCAAAGTATAGGGATAGAGGGAACATTCCTGAACTTCATAAAATCTATCTAGGAAAGACCCACAGCAAATATCATCCTCAATGGGAAAAAGCTTGCAGCCTTTCCGTTGAGATCAGGAACATGACAAGGATGCCCACTCTCTCATTTTCAACATAGTATTAGAAGTCCTAGCCACAGCAATCAGACAACAAAGAGAAATAAAAGGTATCCAAATTGGCAATGAAGAAGTCAAACTCTCTCTCTTCGCAGATGACATGATTCTTTATATGGAAAACCCAAAAGACTCCATCCCCAAACTACTAGAACTCATACAGCAATTCAGTAACGTGGCAGGATACAAAGTCAATGTACAGAAATCAGTGACTTTCTTATACACTAACAATGAAAATACAGAAAGGGAAATCAGAGAATCGATTTCATTTAGTATAGCACCAAGAACCATGAGATACCTGGGAATAAACCTTACCAAAGAGGTAAAGGATCTGTACTCGAGGAACTACAGAACACTCATGAAAGAAATTGAAGAAGACACAACAAGATGGAAGACCATTCCATGCTCTTGGATCGGAAGAATAAACATTGTTAAAATGTCTATACTGCCTAGAGCAATCTATACTTTTAATGCCATTCTGATCAACATTCCACTGGTATTTTACAAAGAGCTGTAGCAAATAATCCAGAAATTTTCATGGAACCAGAAGAGACTGAATCACTAAGGAAATGTTGAAAAACAAAAATAAAACTGGGGGCATCACGTTGCCTGATTTCAAGCTTTACTACAAAGCTGTGATCACCAAGACAGCATGGTACTGGCATAAAAACAGACACATAGACTAGTGGAACAGAGTAGAGAGCCCAGATATGGGCCCTCAACTCTATGGTCAGTTAATCTTTGACAAAACAGGAAAAAATATACAGTGGAAAAAAGACAGTCTCTTCAGTTAAGTATTCTTAAGAAATCCATGGTACCCCATGACATAAATGGAAATTTCCAAATATTTTTGGTCAGGGCTGGAAAAAACTTTGAAAAAGTAAGATATAGACAAAGGGAAAACCATTTGTCAGGGAAGAATCTTAAATGTATGGAGAAGTTGAATTCAAACAAATGGAAATTCCAGGAAATAAATAGAAGGAGCTGATTCTATTTCCCAGTTGGATCAAATGATGGCAGTTCCTGGCTCTGACGGTGTGAACCGTGCAATAATGGGCACTTCTTTAGCCCCAGGATGATTGGCCCTTACATCACTGGAACACCAATGATTCTTTTCAGAGCCCTCTTTATATCTTTGTTCCTCAAGCTGTAGATGAAGGGGTTCAGCATGGGCGTGACCACCGTGTACATCACTGAAGCTATTGCACCTGAGTGGGAGCTCTGGGTAGCCGCAGAGCTAAGGTACACACCAAGCATAGTGCAATAAAATAAGGAGACAACTGAGAGGTGAGATGCACAGGTGGAAAATGCTCTATACCTGCCCAGAGCTGATGATATTCTACGTATGGAGGAAACAATCTTAAAATAAGAGTAAAGGATCCCAGAGAAAGGACCCCCACCCAGCAGAACAGCTGCAAAATACATCACCAAGTTATTAAGTAAGGCATCAGAACAGGCAAGTTGGATTATCTGATTGAGTTCACAAAAAAAGTGTGGGATTTTGAAGTTTGTACAGAAGGACAGCTGCAACATCATTAAACTGTGTAACAAAGAATTCAGGATAGAAATGATCCAGGGCACCAGAACCAGCAGTCCACAGAGCCGGGGGTTCATGATGACCGTGTAGTGCAGGGGATGACAGATAGCCACAAACCGGTCATAGGCCATCACGCCCAGGAGAAAGACATCCGACACAGCAAAGAGTATGAGAAAATAAATCTGCGTGAGGCAGCCTGCATAGGTTATGACTTTGCTTTGAGTCTGGATGTTCCACAGCATCTTGGGTATGGTGGTGGAGGTAAAACAGATGTCTACAAAGGACAGGTTGTTGAGGAAGAAGTACATGGGGGTGTGGAAATGGGAGTCTGAACTGATGACCAGGATGATGAGCAGGTTTCCAAACACGGTGATCAGGTACATGGAGAGGAAAAGCCCAAATATGAGGGGTTGCAGTTCTGGGTCCTCTGACAGTCCCAGAAGGCAAAACTTTGAAATTTGTGTAACATTTCCTGGTTCCATGCCGTGAAGGTGACTTCAAGGACAGGAGCAAATAGCATGAGTAATTTTCACACAAACTTGTATTACTCTCAGTTTTGAAATGCCACTTTTAAAATTTTGTATTCTATAAATTTACTTTTATATATTCCACGTTTTAGGCATTGTGTAGGCAAGGAGTATAGAGAGGTAAGAGCAAAAGTACATGTCATACAATGATGGAGAAAGAATACATTGAAAAATAAGAAAATTAGCTGACCATAGAGTTGAGGGTCCAGCGGATGAATGGATAAGGAAGATGTGGTCCATATACACTATGGAGTATTATGCCTCCATCAGAAAGGATGAATACCCAACTTTTGTAGCAACATGGACAGGACTGGAAGAGATTATGCTGAGTGAAATAAGTCAAGAAGAGAGAGTCAATTACGGTTTCACTTATTTGTGGAACATAACAAATAGCATGGAGGACATGGGGAGTTAGGAGAAGGGAGTTGAGGGAAATTGGAAGGGGAGGTGAACAATGAGAGACTATGGACTCTGAAAAACAATCTGAAGGGTTTGAAGAGGTGGGGGGTGGGAGGTTGGGGGAACCAGGTGGTGGGTATTAGAGAGAGCACGGATTGCATGGAGCACTTGGTGTGGTACAAAAACAATGAATACTGTTATGCTGAAAATAAATTTTAAAAAATGATTAATAAAAATAAATAAAATTACAAAATAAAACCAAAAAAAAAGAAAAAGAAGAAAATTAAATAGCATTTCAGGTGATGGTAGGTAGTATGGAGAAAAAGAAAACAGGGAAAAAAAAACAGAATGAATAGCTATTTTCTTGGGCATTTAAGGCATTCTGCAAACAAGGTGATATTGGAACACAGACCTCAAGTACAACAGAGGAGTAGATAAAGGATTGTGGGGGAACTGTGTGCCCAGCAGAGGGAATGGCCAGTGCAAAGTTCCTGAGGAAGGTACTTGTTTCCAATGTTCAAGTCAAAGAAGCAAAGTCAGTGCTGCAAGGGGAATGATCAGGAGTGAGACTGAGGAGAGACACCATCAAACATACCGAGGAGGGAATTGGCCTCTCTGTTACCTCTGAACCCTCAAGGCACAGGGACATCCATGTCCACACTGCCTCTCCACTGCTCCCATTGTATCCATCATATTGCAAAGGCAACCCATGAATTTAACCAGATCCCTTTCTTAGGGTCTTCTCTTGATCCAGTTCTGGCCCCTGGATTTTGTAACTTTGGGATTTCTGAGTACTGGCACCCTGTTGTGGGAACTGCTCACACTCTACAAGTCACAAACATGCAAGACACCATGGTCTCCTGGGTTGTGTTATTCCCTTGTCTCTCTCAGCCCTCACCTCCTGATTATGCTAGGAATGGATCCAATGCAAGCAGGCCAGATCAGTGACTTTCCACTACAAAATGCAAAAATGCCAATCCTTAAGTCTCCTATGGAAAAAAATATAAATAATAAGATAGATATGTATATATATATATATATGTATGTATACACACATATATATATAATATATTTATATCGTACACCCCCAAAATTAGCAAAGGGATAAACCACACTTAATAAAAAGAAGTATACATAATACAAAAAAAGTTGGGCATTTTTATGTCAAGCATAGAACTTGTTTTTCCTGTACCTTCTGGATTATTTGGCCAATTCTTTTTTAATTTATAAATATAACATACATTTTTTATTTTTTTTATTTTCTTATTTTTTAGTGTTCCAAGATTCATTGTTTATTCACTATATCCAGTGCTCCATGCAATACATGCCCTCCTTAATATCCACCACCAGACTGAGGGTTTTGGCCAATTCTTTTCTATGTGGTCCAAAGGAAAAGAAGGTTAGATCATTTCTCCCTTCTCTTATGTGGCATTTTTTCATTGATATTCGTGGGCTTTGGGTATTGGTATCTCTTTTGACAAACCCAAGGGCCCCACTCTAATCCTCAACCTGGATTTCATTCAAAATGCAAAGGGGTCCACAGACCATGCCCTATTATCCAGACCACACCATGACAATTCTATCTTGTACTCAATAACTTGCTTCAGATCATTCTGTCTGTGGGCATCATATCATACACACATTTATTTCATTGTGCTGTCCTCACTGTTATGAGACATGATTCAAAAGTTCATGGACTTCACCTTTCTGGTTCACTTTTGTTTTTGTTTTTTTCCACCAAGTTATATGAATATATGTGCTTAATATAAAAAGACCTAGGAATATGAAAAATTAGAGAATGAAAAAAATGAAGTGATCACAAAACCAGATTAAAATGCAAAATGAGTAGTTTCAGAGCAACTGTCCCAGGCGAATTTGTATGAAAAACCAAATGAACTGGAATGGGATATAAAATAGTAATCATCAATGATATCAGTGTGGATTAATAACTAAATTGGAAAAAGCCTAGATATGAAAGAATATACCATATAGTGTTCCTAGAATGTTCTGGTCTGTGGCAGATCCTCGGTTTTTATTTGTTAAATGAGTCAGTAATTAGGTCTCAATGTATAAAAATGTTTCCCACATGGCAAAATTGTATTTCTATTTCATTGGAAAAGATTGAATTGCTAAGTAAATGATGGCATAAAGGGATATCTTTTTGGAAGAATATGAAATCGGTCCCCTTTCTCAGATCTTACTGAAATTCAGAGGATTATGACTGGGGTGTTGGACTCACCTGGCTGGGGTGTCTGACAGGAAGGTCACCTTGTGGAAATCTGAATTCCACCCTGGACAGCAGATGATAGGGAGTCAAGCTCTGTCCTCATTGGAGACAGCAGGGGGCACTAAAGTGTCAGCTCCTAGCCAGAATTCGGACTTGGAACAAAGAAACATGAAGCATGGTCCTTCCCTTCCAAGGTTACTCAGGCTGATGGACTGGAGATAAGGAGGTATTTACAGCTCCCTGTATTTGCTCATTAGGTGCACTTCCCTCTTGTGACAAGGGCCTCTACACACACGATTCCCAAGTGGAAAAGTTCTCTGGACTGAAAGAATATTTTCTTACTGAATCTCAGTTCCTAAAAGACAGGGTTGGAGGTCAAGTAAATCCGGGTTTTGCTAATTTTTAAAAACTCCTTTTACTCCCTTTCCTTTAACTTAACCCTCTTCCTGATGTGTAAATCTCCTGGCATCTTATCTCCAGCTCCAAGTTGTCATTTTCTACAAGTCTAAGACCTAATAACCTGCCTGGGTTAGGTCTTTTTATCTTCAAAGCATTGATCTGTGGTGGGGACCCAGTCCTGGTATCACCAGACAGGGTCTATTCTTCTTTTCAATAAGGCAAAAAAGTGTGTTCTTCTGCTAATAAACCTTGGCCACTACACACATTGGCTTCAAACACATTTGCTGCTACAATTAGTAATTTCTTACTTTATACAAATTAAGAGCTATGACTTAGGCCTTTGTCATAAAATTGTAGATAACTAAACAAATGTGTTTAGATCATTTTATGTACTATAATATGAGCTTGCATCTCATAGATATTATTTGATTTCATTTTATAAACATCTTATCCCTGAGAAAGTACATTTATGTACTCTAATCTTCATTGTAGACATCGTGCTTGGTGCTAGCTAGTGATCTGTACACATAGAATATGTAATTATGTGGTGGGCCTTGAGTGTCATTTTGTCATGATGTTTCTATCCCTCAAGCTCTGTGGCATTGGTTTCAGCTAGAAAATAATTTGCCCCTGGGGATATCTGGTGATGTCTGAAGGGTTGGTTCTGAACACCTACAATCCAAAGGAAAACATCACCAATATATCATCCTGCCACAAATGTCAACCATAATACATGAGAAATCCATCTAGACTAGCATCTCTCCAACTTCAGTGTGCCTATGAATCCACACAGGTCCCACTACAAATGCAGAATCTGATCACAGGTCCTGGGTGGCCCAGAGATTCTGCCTTTGTAGCAAACTCTTAGGTGATGTTCATATGTAGGTCCTAATGTGTGGACAAGTCTTTGATTAGCAAAGCTGTGATCCTGTGTTAGAGTTAGGTATAGGGAAATTTAAGAATTTTGCAGCAAATATTGTCATAGCATGAATTTTGAGGAAACCAGGTATTCAACTCATTCTTCATGCTTTGTAAACTCTGCTTATTGCTTTCATAAGTGACTGAAATAATACACTTATGAAAAAGACTTTGTAGTAGACAAAATAAGGCCCTCCAATGTGTGTCCACATCATTTTTTGTTATTTTTTTTATTAATAAATTTTATTTTTTTAAAGATATAATATATTTTTATCCGCAGGGGTACAGGTCTGTGAATCGCCAGGTTTACACATTTCACAGCACTCACCATAGCACATACCCTCCCCAATGTCCATAACCCCACCACTCCCCTCCCAAACCCCTCCCCCCATCGACCCTCAGTTTGTTTTGTGAGATTAAGAGTCACTTATGGTTTGTTTCCCTCCCAATCCCATCTTGTTTCATTTACTCTTCTCCTACACCCTTAACCCCCCATGTTACATCTCCTCTCCCTCATATCAGGGAGATCATATGATAACTGTCTTTCTCTGATTGACTTACTTCGCTAACCATGATACCCTCTAGTTCCATCCACGTCGTCGCAAATGGCAAGATTTCATTTCTTTTGATGGCTGCATAGTATTCCATTGTGTATATATACCACATCATCTTTATCAATTCGTCTGTTGATGGACATCTAGGTTCTTTCCATAGTTTGGCTATTGTAGACATTGCTGCTATGAACATTTGGGTGCACGTGCCCCTTCAGATCACTACGTTTGTATCTTTAGGGTAAATACCCAGTAGTGCAATTGCTGGGTCATAGGGTAGTTCTATTTTCAACATTTTGAGGAACCTCCATGCTGTTTTCCAGAGTGGTTGCACCAGCTTGCATTCCCACCAACAGTGTAGG